GTCCAAAATATTTTGAATAGCTTGAGAGCACCTTGTAGATCACTCAGAAGGCCTCTCTGGCAACAACGCGATGGCCTGAGTCTATCAGGTGAGGTAGAATAGAACTTTTTATACCCTTTAGTTGGCCCTTCGCTAAATACGTTGGAATGTGTTCTCGTACTCTTTAGGATAAACGCCGCCTCGTGCGACCGATATATTCTGCCCCACAGAAGCAGGTGAGTGAAAAAATGCAAACAGGGGTGGGCTGGGCTGGCAGTTTGCTCTTTATCTCTCCGCATAGGATGGGAGAAGATGCGACCAGTGCATGGGCGTTGGCTGCTGGAAAGGTAGTTGCTACAGCTTGACTCAGGCGCTCCTTAGAAGTTCGCTTCGTCCGCCCCCTTGAAATGGGAACCTGATGAGTATTCTCTTCTTCCCTGCTGTTAACATCCAGGGCGTTGGTGGTCTTTCAGTCATGTTCTTCTCGATAATTCCACTGGCATACCCATTTTGTCACAGAACGCCCTCAACAAGCTTAAGCTCTTATTCGATACTATCAGTCGAGCAGATTCTTTTCGCCCTTTGCGCAAAACATCGTACTAGATTACGTTTGATGTGTAATGGTACGAAAATAGCAAAATGAGTGTATTGCACGGACAACTTCCTCTCACGATAGACCCTACGTTCAATACTTCCTTCAGCTATTTTACTCAATAGTACATAGAGGAATGGGAGCGAACCAGACTGTTCTTGTTCTAGTGTAAACTTGATAGACCAATGCACCCGATTAACGGTATACATTGGAGCGCCTCCCCTAAAATTCGCACTATTTTCTTCAGCCAAACCGCATAGTTTACTTAGCTTATTACGATAAAAATGTACAGACCTGACGACAATATATCGAAAACAAGCGTATGTTCGCCAATGTAGCTTCTGACATTTTCAATGAGAATTTTCGCAAATTGAGAAAATACAAACAGTATTATCAATACAAGCAAACATACGAATCCCAGAAAGTAATTGAGAAAAAGACAACTTGATCGCTGGAACAATACTTTTATTCGCCTGAAGTTGCGGATTCATCATCATCTCGCATAAAACAGTAGCAGAAACGGGTAACACGTGTACAGGAGTTTTCAGTATTTATAGGATACAGTCATTACTGCAAATATACAGCGACAATTAACGTTAATTGCCTTCTCGCACCACTTGGAGTCGGAGTTGCACACAGGCCGC